GAAAGATACTGCACGTTTAACAATGAATATTTACATCGTTATTCTGTTTTATATATTGTTTTATTGAGATCAGTGGAAAGTAATAATCAGTTTAATTTTTTTCAGTTACCAATGGCTAAAGAAAACGTTTGTCGTCCCTAATTTGGAAATGATAGATTAGAAGAAAAGCAGCTAGTCAATAGTATCCACTGATAACTCTTGGGGTCACTTTATTTAAAAAGCTGGATTTGATTATTACTCCTATAATGCGCTCACGGATACAAAGTACCAATGGAAATTTTGTGGCAATGGGACACAAACCATGTATCTTCAGTTTCACAGTCCAACACACTAATAACTAGGCCGTGCCCAAAATAGAAGAGAGAAAACAATAACAGGAAAGCCAAAAACAACAAAAGGGCACATTTATAAGTATTACACTCCTTGTACATTGACAGAAGCAATATTTAAAAATAAATTATAAGAAAATGATGACCAGGAAAAATGATATCAAAGCAGCAGAAGATGGTTTTCTACATTCCAGGTATTGGTTTATTGTCATAAGATATAGACCACCAAACAAGAGTTACCCTACTAAGTCATGGTTGTTTGTTTAAGAACAAAGCCACACTGGGCTATCTATTGTGTCAATCGCGGGGAATCAACCCCGGATTTTAGCGTTGTATGTTCGTAAATTTACCGCTGTCACACCAGGGGGGGGGGACACCTTTACGAGTTAAAGGCGTTACTTTTGCATCTAATGAGAGTCAGTTACATTAATATTATTTTCAGCAAATGAAAATGATTGAAAAAAATCCACGCCCATGAATGATGCATTTTTAAATCAAGACGGATTGTTCTGCTTTTCTTTCTAATATTTGTTTGGGACAAGAAGACACAGCTGACTAGTAAAAATTTTTATTCCTGCCAATATATTTAAAAATTTCCAGAACTTGACGAGAAAAGCAGTTTGCATATGAAATGGAAGGAATTGGAAATCCGTTCGGAAACGAAATTTACGTTAAATAAGGTAGCTCAAACTTTAATGAAGATTAAAAAGCAACAATTTAACAAGTATATTTAATAAGATAATTACAACATTTAGATATTTATCAGAGAGAAATCACGCTTTTCGCGGACCTATTCATAAGGCAAAATCACCATGGAAACTGAATCTTTTTAGCTCAAGTGCAATTGATGGTAAATTTTGATCCAGTGATGAATAAAGTATTTCTTGTATTCACAAGTAACATAACAAGTCGTCATTCTTTGAGCTTAGTTGTCTACATTGAATTACTATAGATGTCACTACTGCAGTTGTTTTAAAAATTAAGCATATGAAGTACTTCTCTATGGTGATAGAAAGTACCCCTGCTTTAAATATATCAGGAGCTGTTATCGGCTGCTTTAACAGAAACGATTTTTCAAGCAATGGAAATAAATGTTAAAAAATATTAACATGTTAATTATTAATTAGTTGTCTTTTAAAGAGACAACATTATCTGCATAATCAAAAGTTATTCTTGAATAGGTTATAAAAAATGGAATACCGTCCGAGGTTTGCTGAGGTCAAAGGTGTAATAACTGTGCAAATATGATAGGCCAACACAAAGGCACGCAATCTAGTTTGTTACAATCAAATATTATATATTTTTATTTCTTTTGGTTGTCATTCTTTGAACAATGTACTGTGTGGTAATTTAAATTTCTTGCAACTGGTAAAAAATAGAACTCTTTTGTTTTTCTTCAAAGAATAACTATTATTTTTGCAGCATTAGCTATTTTGAATTTATTTTCCAATATCACTCTCAAACCTCTTTCCGACACTAGATGGGAGTGTAAATTTGAAAATATGAGATTGGTAAGATATCAAAAGAAAGGTATATTGGCAGTATTATTGGAATTAAAGGAAACTAGAATGGATAGTGCAGGCTATTATGAAGCTGGATCATTAACAGATGATATAGCATATGCATATTTACAATTTATTTAGTAGTTTGGTATGGCATGTTTGTACAAATGAATCTAGCTATAAAGAAAATGCACAACTCAATTATTAGAACTGATATTTAGACCAATGGCATACGGCAAACCATTCTTAACTATAGAGAAAACGATTTTGAATGTAAAATAAAAAAATGCTAAAGAACTGACAGAATAATTATCAATTGTTTCAGAATTATTAGAGGCCTGTGTTTCATGAAAGAAATATCAATCTGGTAGTCACAAACCTGAGGATGAGTCACTCATTGTTAGACAATGAGGGTTTAAAACGTATTTATACATTGTAATAGACTGTGATTTAATGAATTTGGAAGTTAGATTTGAGTTGCTTCGTTATTACATGTACATTTTTAGAATAATGTGTGACGTCAACGCAATTCAAAATATAGGACACAATAAACGAGTGAAATAGTGCAAACATTTAACTGCAGCACTAAGCAACACTGATGATAGAACCAGTTCAGGTGCTGACAGAATTGACTTAGCTGTTAAACTCTAAAGTCTAGCTACAATTCATCCAGAGACTTTTGATGTTCTTTAAATAATGCTCTTTATTTTAAAAATGTGTTGGTAGTATATTCAACGTGTTCATGGCTCGCAGAGTACTACCTACAGCTCCAGTAGTGTTACCTATATCCCCAGTAGTGCTACTCACATCTCCAGTAGTGTTACCTATAGCTCCAGTAGTACTACTCACATCTCCAGTAGTGTTACCTATAGCTCCAGTAATGCTACTCACATCTCCAGTAGTGTTACCTATAGCTCCAGTAGTACTACTCACATCTCCAGTAGTGTTACCTATAGCTCCAGTAGTGCTACTCACATCTCCAGTAGTGTTACCTATAGCTCCAGTAGTGCTACTCACATCTCCAGTAGTGTTACCTATAGCTCCAGTAGTGCTACTCACATCTCCAGTGGCGTTATGTACAGTACTAGTAGCGCTTCTTACAAGTCCAGTGGTGTTATATACAACCTGATTAGTGCTACTTACAGCTCCAGTGGTGTTAATTTAGAGCTCAAGTAGTACTACTTACCGTTCCAGTGGTGTTATATACAGCTCCAGTAGCGATACTTACGGCTGTAGCGGTGTTAAATTTAGCTCCAATAGTGCTACTTACTGCTTTAATGGTATTATTTACAGTTTTAATAGTACTACTTACACCTCCAGTGGTGTTATTTACAGCTCCAATAATGCTACTTTCAGTTCCAATGGTGTTTTTACAGCTCCAGTAGCGATACTTACAGTTCCAGTAGTGTTTTTACAGTTCCAGTAACGATACCTACAGCTCTAGTGTTATATACAGTTACAGTAGTACTACTGGCACCTTCATTTGTGTTATTTACAGTTCCATTAGTGTTATATACAGCTGAAAAGTGTTTTTAAAAGTTGAAAGTAATTTAAAATTCTTAAAATCGGCTACAATGTTGGACATCTTCTCCATTAAAAGAAATGTCGCAAGAAGGTTGAATATTCAGGAGAATTTTAAAGAAATTGCAACAGGAATAATTGAATAGGTAATTGTCACACCGTAATAACTATACAAAAAGTGAATTTATATTTATAAGTAGGTAAGATAAATACCCACTTCTGTGCCTAATTTAGGTCTACCACTTATATCCATTTCTATGCCTAATTTAGGTCCACCATTTAGATAACTTGAAGGATGTTCAGAATTTTCTCGCGAAAGCACTGCGCAAATATAAACACTTACTTGAGTTTTCCGCAAAAAATCAACACCAAAAGTGATTTCTGGGACAGCGTCTTCCACTGCAATAAACAACAAAGAAACATGGACATCTTCCATTTGTACACACACTTTAATAAAGTAGTTCAGTCTACAACATGATTTTCCCGTTTCTAAATGGAATAAAATGTACAAAGAAAGTGCTATTCTTATAGATAATTAATTACTTTATCATAGAACATAAGTACATACGGTATACAAAATAATCTCATGCATATTCTACCATTTAATTTAGGTATTTTGGTCATAGAAACAACAATCGCAAATAAAATAAAAATACTTTCTAGTCACCGACAATCTAAGTTAATGACTTTAAATAAGTTACATTATCATGTAATCTAAAATTAAGTGTTTACTCCGTTTTTCCTAGCGTGGGATTCCCTCGAGCTTCGTAGTATTAATTGTACATACGAAGTGTAGACAGATAGGGAGATCAAACATTAAACACACGTTAACACTATTTTACCTGCACCGTTTGAGATATCTGATGCAAAATCAAAGAGCATTCAAATATTTTAGACAAGTTGCCTTTCCTTTTGCGGTATGACTTGACGCCACATATCTCAGGCAAGCTGTGGAAAGAACTGTATTTGTCATGTTATCTGCCTGCATCTAGTTCAGAATCTTTTCCGAAACTCTTTGCTACAGGGGAAGATGGTTTCGTTCGTGTTGCACACGCCCATTTTTACTGTACATTTACACCAGGATAACAGTGTGATGAGACTTAGACAATGGAATAGTAAGGTCTTAATTAAACTATAGCTTCTTATAGTACTCAATAGCCGGCAACTTTATTTTAGGTTGCCGTTGAATGAGCTACTCGAGTCATTAGACTAGCAGTAGTTTTTCAGATTATTAAAAGTAATTAACAGCAACTTCTGATCAAAACAATCATTCTACATAGATCACAACTAAAATCTAACCCAGATTAATAACAACTTCTGATCAAAACAATCACCCTACATAGATCACAACTAAAATATAACCCAGATTAACAACAACTTCTGATCAAAACAATCACTCTACATAGATCACAACTAAAATATAACCTAGATTAACAACAACTTCTGATCAAAACAATCACTCTACATAAAGCACAACTAAAATCTAACCCAGATTAACAACAACTTCTGATCAAAACAATCACTCTACATAGATCACAACTACAATCTAACCCAGAAATTAGTACAATTTATTTCATATACCCTTCTAACTTGGTGTATGCAAAGTGTGCTCTCGCTGTTAACGATGTTTTTGGCATTAATAGTATAAACTAAATTTCCTTTCCGAAAGCCTAAATTATGGTTAATGCGTGATGAATGTGATGCTTTAATAAATGCAACTGTAAGCGTCAACGACCATTTTCTATCTTAAGTCATCCAGGTAAATCGACGTACTATTTTATTTACTATGTAAACTCCATCTTAAGTCACCCAGATAAATGGATGTACTATTTTATTTACTTTGTAAACTCCATCTTAAGTCACCCAGGTAAATGGATGTACTATTTTATTTACTCTGTAAACTCCATCTTAAGTCACCCAGGTAAATGGATGTACTATTTTATTTACTCTGTAAACTCCATCTTAAGTCACCCAGTTAAATGTATGTACTATTTTATTTACTCTGTAAACTCCATCTTTAATCACCCAAGTAAATGGATGTACTATTTTATTTACTCTGTAAACTCCATCTTAAATCACCCAGGTAAATGGATGTACTATTTTATTTACTCTGTAAACTACCGACACCATGCTTTATTGGATATGATGTTCAATCCTATCTTACATGAGACCCGCTGTTTTGTAATAAATAAGAGTAACAAAATATTTTCACTGCGGGTAAATCTACTTTTGGTACCAGTTCCTCACTTTCAGAATCCCGTGAATCTAATATTACAAAACGATGAAACAAGCACCGTTTTTCAGCCGTATCTTAGTAAGTTCCCCAAGAAAATAGTTGAACTGTTTCATTTGTTACTTTCTAATGTGTTTTACTATAGAAGTTGTTTTTTTTTTCTACTATCAGCTCATGATGCCACACCCACACCAGTTTCGCAGGCTTTATCTTTTTATGATATACCTTTGTACTAGTTCAGTCATAAGAAGACCTGATACCAGAACTGAGCAGAGCACAGATAGCCCTTTGTGCTTAATACAAACAACAACAACGACCTCTGCAAAAGTTAGGCTACACTTATAAAAATTTGATGGAGTGATAAGTAAGAACTTACTACACAATTGTAAACATGGATCATAATAACTGACAGTTGTTGAAAACATCCGTGACTATCTCAGACTAGAGTTTATATATATCTCAGAACTGCAGTTTCGAGGTAAATTAGCTTTTATCAGCTCCACTAGGTTGGTGATAAGATCAGTTGTAGAATAAACTTTTTGAAATAAAACTTGAATTATTTCCTTACCTACACAAAACTGAGAAACCTGCTGCCAGTTTCCTAACGTTAGATCCAAATACTTAACTTTTCCTTTCACTTCGGGATGCGGGAGCCCGAGAGCAATAGACTTTGAGGTAGTGTCAGGGATAATCTGGTCTGTCAGCCTGTCAGTATTAAAAACCTTTATTTGAAAATTATGTTATATGCAAAATTAAACTTTGTGTTCGGAAATATATAGATATATTTTGCTTCAAATAATATTCATAAAACATCTCTGTTATTATTTATATTTCATCCTGTTCACATCAAACAAGAACAATGATATTGTATATTAGTTGTCATTTTAACTGTCTCAGGAGGGTATTAATGAAGATGTGACAAGTTGTTTAGACGTCTTCATTGTTAGAAATGTTTAATTTAGACGACTCCTCAGTAACAATACCTTCTTTATTGTTATAAATGTCTAACTTAGACGACTTCTCACTAACAATATCTTCTTTATTGTTCTAAATGTATAATTCAGACGATTCCTCAGTAACAATACCTTCTTTATTGTTATAAATGTCTAATTTAGACGACTACTCAGTAACAATACCTTCTTTATTGTTATAAATGTCTAATTTAGACGACTCCTCAGTAACAATACCTTCTTTATTGTTATAAATGTCTAACTTAGACGATTTCTCACTAACAATATCTTCTTTATTGTTCTAAATGTATAACTTAGACGACTCCTCAGTAACAATACCTTCTTTATTGTTCTAAATGTATAATTTAGACGATTCTTCAGTAACAATACCTTCTTTATTGTTATAAATGTCTAATTTAGACGACTCCTCAGTAACAATACCTTCTTTATTGTTATAAATGTCTAACTTAGACGACTCCTCAGTAACAATACCTTCTTTATTGTAATAAATGTCTAATTTGGACAACTCCTCAGTAACAATACCTTCTTTATTGTTATAAATGTCTAACTTAGACCACTCCTCAGTAAAAATATCTTCTTTATTGTTAGAAATGTTTAATTTAGACGACTACCCACTAACGACACATTATTTGCGGTTAAACATGGCCATTGTAAATGGAAAGACAAATGTTTGAAAGCTGAATTCTTTACATTCTACAAAGTTGAAGTTCCATTGAATATCAGTTTTTAGAGAATTTTTGTTCATTATTAATTACCAAAAATACTCATTCAAAGAAGGGTCACTCAAAAGGGTTCCACATATTTGCTGATTACCACTGTGCTCTAGAATAACACAAGCCTGCGATTTTAAACTTCATGAAAGTTGTTTTGGTTATAATTAGAGATTTTCCATAATTCAGCTACGCAGATTTCGAAAACAATATTTATTTTTTTATATCACGTAAGTATTTTTTTACAGATCGGGAAGGAAAAACTCTTATTTAGATCAAATTATTATTTCGTTTACCACAACGGACATTTTTTTTATTATTATGTTTGGGTTCTAGAATGATAGATAAGACTTTCACGTCGCGATTGGTCAAAAGAAATCTATAGCCAGTAGTTGTCAAAATTTTAAGCATAATAAAATGTGACCCGATTTCAATGAAATTGATTCACTTATGTAAAAGTACATACGACGTTTATTGAAAAATCTGTACGTGATGGAGAAAAATGGGTATCATTTTCGGATCCAGCGTACAGGAATTACTGTAGAACATGTGAAAATGTCAAGACAATAAAACCATCGCAGGCCTGTGTAATTGGACTTAACTAAATATAAAACAACTAGGGATTAAGTTGCTGCTTCACTCACGACTAAAATTACTTTTGGAATTATATTATTTTAAGATCAAAGATAAATTGAAATGGATAGGGTTTTGACAATTTCAAACAATTAAAATTCGCTTACAATATTGGAAATATACGTTCATGAAATCAGAGTGTAATAATTATATTTCTTATCGATCTTGATTCAATTGATATAAACACAAAAAATACCACATTTATCATTTTATTACTTGTTACTAATTGCTATTAGAGTAAGACCCAACCCTTAGACCCTACACTGTTACATGCCACTATTTAAAAGTGGTGCTAAGATCGAATGCTGTCACATGATACTCTTTACAAGTAGTGCTAAGAACCAGTGTTGTTACACATAACTATTTACAAGTAATGATAAGGCTCTACACTATCACACTTTACAAGTAGTGCTAAGAACCAGTGTAGTTACACACCACTATTCACAAGTAGTTATAAGCTCTACACTATCACACTTTACAAGTAGTGCTAAGACTACATTGTCACACATTGCTACTTACAAGTAGTGCTAAGAACCAGTGTTGTTACAAATAACTATTTAAAAGTAGTGATAAAGCTCTACACTGTCACATTTTACAAGTAGTGCTAATACCCAGTGCTGTTACATGTCACTATCTATGACTCGTGCTAAGACTCAACCTTCTCACAATTTACTATTTTTTTCAAATATTCTAAAAAAATCCCTATGATTGTTGTGTTTTTCAATCGTTACTAATTTAACTGTACCGTTTACAACTACATGTCTTTTAAGAACAAAACATTGAAGTGTTTTTATTGTATAATAAATATGATACAGAAATATCTAGCCTTGTATTTCCCGTTCGGGTTCATGTAAACTTGTTTATATGATTAAACACATTTTTCTAAACTATATATGCACTGAAGTGTTCATGAGTTTGTTAGTTACAGGATTTACATCAGCACACAAGTCACAAAAATCTAAACAAAAATATGGTCAATAATACAGTTAACCACGTAAATTATTACTGAGAAATGCTGTGTATTCTACATATAAAATAGAAAACTCACTGATTTATTTTAGTGAGTTCCGTACACTGAATGTTGTAACAGGCAAAAAAGAAAGAATATGTGAGTAACTCGATAACATAAACATAACGTTAGAAAACACTGACCTCAGCTTTTCAACCAATTTCATTGATATTGATGAAACCGTTGCTGCTGTGTTGATTAGAGCATAGCTCTCCACACCATTACACTAAAATTAATGTAAAATAGTAATGTTAGATAATGATGAAACCATTGCTCCTGTGTTGATTAGAGCATAGATCTCCACACCATTACACTGAAATTAATGTAAACTATTAATGTTAGATATTGATGAAACCATTGCTCCTGTGTTGATTAGAGCATAGCTCTCCACACCATTACACTAAAATTAATGTAAAATAGTAATGTTAGATAATGATGAAACCATTGCTCCTGTGTTGATTAGAGCATAGATCTCCACACCATTACACTAAAATTAATGTAAAATAGTAATGTTAGATAATGATGAAACCATTGCTGCTGTGTTAATTAGAGCATAGCTCCCCACACCATTACACTAAAATTAATGTAAAATAGTAATGTTAGATAATGATGAAACCATTGCTCCTGTGTTGATTAGAGCATAGATCTCCACACCATTACACTAAATTACACTAAAATTAATGTAAAATAGTAATGTTAGATAATGATGAAACCATTGCTGCTGTGTTGATTAGAGCATAGATCTCCACACCATTACACTAAAATTAATGTAAAATAGTAATGTTAGATAATGATTAAACTATTGCTCCTGTGATGATTAGAACATCTCTCAGATAAATTTGCAAATGTTTATATCAAATATATATATATACATATTTCTATTGTACACAGTGTTGCTCACTCCAATCTAAGTATTATGATCTTATTTTTATTCTTTATATTCCGTATCTGCCTATACTGCTTTAACTCTGCGAGATTTTAGTTAAATATTGAAAATTGCAGATAATCAACTAGAGACTTAAAGGAGCATTCAGTACTGCGAAATAATTGCTCATGAACTCACCGGTGAGCTCACACAAATATTTACTTTAGGATCAATATAAGTAGTTTTAAAACACAAGTTAATAACAAGGGGTTATCTGCGTGACCGAAATGTTTTCTTTTATTTGGCATTCTGTCTCGTTAAACAAGAACCATAAGAAAGGACACTACCTCACACTTAATAACTGGTTGCACGTGCATTCTTCCAAGCCTGGATTCATCTTCAAACAGCGTGATGGCCATGGCATTCAAAAAAGTCTTATCTCTGTCCTTCACAGGATCAACTCCAAAACACTGAGTATCGAAAGAACTGGATCTTCGCTGAAAACAGTAAGTTGTCTATTAACTGGAATACTTTTCTATCCAAACATAGAGATCCGAGAGCTTACACCAGAAAGGTAAATCCCCTAACCTAGCTGTAACAGATAAGCTCAGCAAAAACAAGCATGAATCGTGAGACTGTGATCTCATTCAAAGAAACCCTGAAGAAGACAGGTCCAACTGTCGAAAGCGCTAGAGTTTTATCGTTTATTTTATCCAGTATTGTTTACCAACTTTATTTTTATTATATTAGGTCGTCAAGAAATTAGTGTCGCGTTTTGGAACACTTTCATTAACCACC